GCTTGCGGCCCCACCTGCTGGTAGGATCCGGAAGTTCAGAAGTCCTATGGACTTGTCCCAGGGCTCCATCTGCCTTTCTTTTAGGTGTCCAGGAGCCCTGACATATGTCCCGTGGCAAGAAGTTCAGACGGGTTTGGTCCTATTTCAGTGGATTGACTGCATGAAGGGTACTGAGTGCATCGGAAGCTGGTCATGGTGGCCAAAGCATGGGAGTTCAGCATGGCTGTTCTCTGCTCTTGAGCCCCAGTCACTGGAGTGGAATCTCCCGCAGGAAGAGAGAAGGGATTCTTTGAGGATGGGCGGCGCACCCCCAGGACAACACTCCCTAAGGAGACTCAGAGCCAGATCATCCTCGATTCTCATTGTGTTCCCCCATGGAGCTGCATCCACAAGAAGCCAGGCTACTCAGGGATAGTGAGGATGGGACTCAGCTTCTCAAGAACCTCGTGAGATGGTAGCAGCAGAACCGACACACTGTCCAATCCTTGCTTGAGATGCTGCAGAGGCGGGGCCTCAGCTCACCAACCCTGGTCCCCCCTGGCAGTTTTTCAAGGGAATGGGAGGCGTCTGGGTTACGTTCAGTTGAGACACCCTTGTTTTTCCCAATATAGCTGTACCTCCAGGGTTATCGTTCTTAAAATATACCAGCCTTGAGGGACAGGCAGAACCCATCATAGCACAGACACTTAACAGACCCAGAATCCCCATCTGATACTCTCCTTTCGAGGTTTATTGCCAAGGCAGGTCATAAGTCCCACATCTCTTGATTCAGTTGGACCCATTGCCTTTCTGGATCCTTTTCTGAGTTGCCTGCATTCACCTTCATATACCACCTCCAGCTTGAGCTCTCAGAGGGAAGGTTTGGGGATATGGAAAGGAATCAGTCTGTTCTCTCCCAGAAGATCCCTGGGCTCACTCTGCAAACTGGTCCCTAACACTCCCCAGAATCTTGCATACAAGGAGGGGGCCTTCACTCAGTTACACAGGAGGCCCACTCAGAGTTTCCTTAGGTAGGGAAGGCTCTAAAGACTTCTTTTAAGGTAACCAGTGCCAAACTGCTGGCAATTTCTTTTGCTAAATAAGAAAGAAAAGATCTGCTTTTCATCTTTACAATACCCCTATAAGGCAGGCATTATTGGGATCCTCATTTTACAGGAAAGAACACTAAGACCCAGCCACATGAAGTAACTTGCCCAGGTTTTCGGTGGTCAGTAACACAGCAGAGATTCAGAGCCAGCTCTGTTGGACTTGAAAGCCCCCCATGCATGCTGCCCCTGCCTCCTGGCCAGGGAGGGGGTCCTCATCCTCAGCGCATAATATTCACTGAAGAATGAAGGATACTTTGCAGTGAATGCTCAAATCAGGAATGGGTTGCATATGGACCCACTGACACATGTTACTTCTGCTTGGTTTTTTCCTCTGTATCTGTTGTGGCCCAAAGTCTGTAAACCAACCCTAACCTCCAGGACCTCAGAATGTGACCATAGTCGAGGGTAGAGACATGAAAGAGGTGATTAAGGTAAAATGAGGCCCTATGGGTGAGTCCTAATTCAATATGGCTGATGTCCTTATACAGAAAGGAAGTTGGGACACGGACATTCACAGAAGGAAAGACCATGTGAAGACAAAGGAAGATGGAGACCATCTATAAGCCAAGGGAAGAGGCCCAGAAGAAACCAACCCTGTGCACACCTTGATCTTGGACCTTTGGCTGCCAGAACTGTGAGAAAATAAATGTCTATTATTTAAGCCACCCAGTCCGTGGTACTTTATTATGGCAGTTCTAGCAAACTGATAGAGTATTTACAGTCTTGTGACCGATAGCATTTCCCAAGACCGATAGCAAGGTAGGTTCCCATAAAGAATAAGCAGTGTTTATATAATATTTCCTTAACAAAATTGCTTCCCCCAAGAGTATTTGCCTGGATGCAAGGAGGAGAGACTGGAAAGTGGGAGGCGTCATTAATATGGAGAAAGAGACATCCTGCAAGTTTTCTTTTCCATCGTGGTCTTACGCGTAGTTACTATTTACAGCATTTGGGCAGTTATCTCTATTGAACTCTGAATGTGAGATGTCTCATACACTTAATCTCCACAACTATCCTCTGAGGTGATTGCTCCTCTTGCTGATGGGAAAACTAAACCGTAAGGAGGATAAAGTAATTTGTGGAATCATACAGAGTAGGTGGCAGGAAAGACCCATGCTTTTAATGACTATGAATTTGACTTCTAGGATTTCACTGTCCCCCTTCTCCACGGCTTCTCGGACTTTCCCAGTTACGTATCACAAACTGTGGGATATAGTGAAAGGCTGGGTCTTGCCACTCAAAGTGTGGTCCTCGGACCAGCAGCAGGCATTACGTGGGAGTCTGTGAGAACGGCAGAACCTCAGCCCTACCCCAGACATGCCAAATCAAGATCTGCGTTTTAGCAAGATCTTCAGACAGTACCAGCTAGATAATTGGTAGGGCCCAATACAAAATGAAAATGCGAAGCCCTCAGTTTAAAAATCAGTAAGCATTTCAAGATGGTGGCAGGAGAGCATTAAACCGAATGTGGGTGGGACTACCCAGGTCTCACACCCATGGAGCCAACCCTGCCCACGGGTGAGACACGGGGACCGTAAAGCGTGAGAAGCATAAACCTAGAAGATTCAGTGTTGCAGCCCTTCACTAGAGGGATGCTTTTAGTTGTATTTGATCTTTTTTTGCATTTATCTTTAAAAAACTCCAAAATTTTGCATTATACTCCTTAATATACCCGTTGGTCTTACCATAAAATAACATTTCCCCCCAAAGAAACCTGGAAAGAAAATAGCATCAACAACTTCTGGCACTCTGGCCATCTAGGAAGCAAGCACAAGCATCCCGGTGCAAAAATCCTGAGGTGAGCCTGTCCTAGGTGCAGACGGAAGAGCCCTCGATTAAATATTTCCAACAGAGTCACACCATATAAATTTCATGTGCCTTTCTTGCCAGACGCTGAGCATGCATTAGTATTGCTCTGGACCAGTTATTTAAGTTCTGGGCCCGTCAGTCTTCTCGTCTATAACATGGGGAGAAGAATAGTACTACTTCAGGGGTTGTTGTGAGGATTCAACGAGATAATAAATAAAAATAAGACACAGAGAACGTTTCCTGGCTTATGTTAAACCTTCAATAAATGTTGACGTGCCGTTACATCGTGGAGATTAGGTTCTTGTTTCACTTTGAAGAAAGCAGAAAACGAGGCAGACAGGGTGTCACAAGGGGAACTGGCTCAGCCTCTAGACAGAGCTCCGTGGGATGGCACTTATTCTAATGAGTTCATCTTGACCTGGGACCTGGTCTTCATTCTACTGATGCAGAAACCTAACTTTGTCAGCACCCAGAGAGTGCAGCTGTAATTGGGGGGTGAACTTACAATACCGGACGCCGGTGGTGTGTGTGTGGGTGCGTGTGCATGAGCTCAGAGAAAAACAGGGAAAGGGGCACGGGAGGAGAAGAGAGAGAGGGAGAGGGATTGAGAGAGAGAGTGCAAGTAGAAATTTTGAGTCTGGTGAGGATGACCTTTACATTTTTCAGCGAGAGAAACTCTTACTACAGAGGGCTTGAAGGTTGCTGGGAAGAACAACGTCAGCAGTGACAAGACAGTCTCAAGGGACTGTCTTGGTCTCAGCTGTGACACCAACTCCCTTTGTTGGGTGGTGTCTTCTGAAACAACCACAGCTGGGTCGCACTGGGTTGCACTGTGTAGTCTTTAAGCCTCAAGGGGGCGCTCTAAACTTCAGCTCCAAGAAGGAGGCAAGGGCCATCTAGCCAGGTCTTGCCTTTTGGGTATAAACAAACACAGGAGATTTTTGGAGAGAACACGGAAGGTAGGTGGGTGGGCTGGGCTTAGGAGAGATGAGTGAGGCTGGGCATGTGGAGCTCCAGAGATGCATTTGGGGCCATTGCTAGGGAAATGTTTTTCTCTCTCAGCTTCTACAATTGAATAGAATGATTAGTGTGTGTGTGTCCATATTTCCGCTTACAGAAGTTAAACATGCATGTTGTAAAATTTTTTAATATGAGGGAAGGTATGGCTTTGAAAGTGAAATGCATTCGTACCCCCAACCCGGCCCCCCAAAGCGTTGAGTTTCATATGTTTGCTATGACTGTATCCACTAACTAGCTAGCAAATAACTATACATATACAGGAACACATGTGTAGTTACGTCTACGTAAATAGGAATGCCGACAATTAAGTTCACAATGATAACCTGTAAAGCTGCCTGAAAAGCTTGTGTTTCATGGCCCACTGCGTTCCTTTCCCACGAGCAAGTAGCACAGAAAGGCAAATTATCAGAAATTTATGAGCTGAGCATAGAAAGAAAACAAGGGAAGTGAGTTAATCTTCTGAAATGTCTTTCAGCTAAAAGACACGGCCCCTCCCCATCAATGCATCGGGGAGCTAGTATCTCACAGACCACATTTGGAAAATGGTGATCTCTGCTTATGTCATTTTGAAGTCTCCTTAAGGCAGAAATTATTCCTGGGCTATATTGTTCCTTTTAGAATTTCCTGCATTGGGGTAAAAATTAACAACTTTCTTTAACCTACCTATGGGTTCTTTGAAAAGATATTTAATGACCTATTTAAGATGATTAAAACCATCCTATTAATTTTTTGCTCATGTTTCAAAGGAGACTGGGAAAAGTAACAGTTATTTAAGATAAAATAAACCAGCAGACCAAAAACTATTAATGCTAATAAATCTAAAAGTAAAGTCTGCCATTAGGAATGGCTTAAATATATGAAGTATTTCTTTTAAAATAATCACTATTCCTATATCCTTCACATAGGTCTAGAAGTGCAAGTTATGATTACTTTTAGGCATATAACACACAAACGGGTAACAAATGGTGCCTTTGGCCCCAAGCCATTCTTCATCTCATCCACTAGAGGGTACCTGAGGGTTGTTCAACAAAAGCACTCAGGAAACCAGATTAAAAATGTGAACCAGAAACCACAGACCAAAAGTGCTGTATATATATTTTAATACTTCTGGCACATGACTAACCAAATTCAGTGTGCTAAAAGATAGCCACATATTTTTTCCTTTATAGAATTTTGACACTTCTGTTTTGTACACCAGTATTCAGTTTTGAAAACATTTTGAATCTTGCCTAACGAGGATAGTATTGGGTATTTTACAATATAATAAACACATCTGCTTTTCTAATGAAACTTGTGGTATTGAAGATTACTAGAAAAGCCTGGCAATTTTGTTATCATAATCCCAGAATTATTTCTCTATTTTGTGTAATTAGTCTGTTACTTAATTGGATTCCCTCTGAATGGTCCCATGAAAGACGCAGGGTTATTTTTCCTTTATTACGTTCATCTTCTACTCCTCACTCCCTCCCACGCCATGTTCTAGTAAGAGCAAGTTACTGTATTGGACAGCAAAACTGAAAATTAGAAGTAGTCCAAATGACCAGTAGCAGGGAATAGGAAAGCCAACAGTGGAGTGTTATGGCCGTGCATGTTTATATTAATCTATTAATTATAGTATATATAAATTATAACATTAATGCAATAGTATCAGGATCGCATTTGCAAAATATGCTGACCATTCGCTAAGGGTCAGTCCCTGTGTTATGTGAATGATGAACAGGAAATAAATTCCAGCTCTTGAGGAGTATATAATTGTGTGTGCGTGTGTGTGTGTGTGTGTGTGTGTGCGTGTGTGTGAGAAGAGATCCATGATTGAATACGTAGAGGGTTGGGATTGTGCGCATGAACTTTGGAATCAGAAATTCAGGTTCTCCCACTCATTTGTTACATGACCTTGAGCAAATGACTTTACCTGTCTCCGAGCCTTGATTTTCTTATCTGTTAAATGGGGATAATCATCTACCTTAATTTTATTGTGAAAATTAAGTGGAAGCATGACCATAAAATATCTGACACCTAGTATGGATCATGGAGTTTAGATCATGGAGTTCGGTTGTGGCTTTCTGCGTGTAGCAGGGAATCATTGTGTGATACCATGTGTGATAGACTGTCTCATGATGGCCACCCCCAGAATGAGATGGAAGCATCGTTCCAGGGCCAGACAATTGGTCTGGTCAGACAAGCTTCAGTCACATCCCGACAGTCCTATTTTCTGGATAGCCCAGTGGTTTGGGCTGCCTGATACGAAGAAAGTCACTGAGAAGGGATCTTGCCTCCTTTGAAATAGCGTGTGTTTCTGTTTTTACTTTAACTGCTTCAAGGTCCAGTGGTCAAAGTGGGCCTCTTCGGGTGAAGACTTCTATAGTCCTGAGAGCCAGTGTAGATGGCTGCTCCCACATGAGCTAGCAGACGGAGCTCTTTCACTGAGAAATGGGCTTGGGGCCAGGCTAGGATGGCAGAAGTGTTTCTCAAGCAACATTCTGAATGATTCTGAAATCCAAGGAATCTGAAGGACCGGGAGTCAAATGGAGTCAAAAGAGTCAACTGGGCTGAGGTCAGAAAAACAGACAATGAAATCCAAGTGGGTTACCAAGCCAAGATGGGCAGAGCTGTGCTGAAATCCAGGGTATAGAGCAGGGATTGGAAACTGGCAGGGGAGGGAGGAGGATGGGTGCAGAGAACAGTGAGAACCTACTGTTTACCAGCTACCATTCCCGATACTAGAGCTTATATTCCAACAAGCTAATTTCCCGTGCTGGTAAGTACTATGAAGACAGATGGCCTAGGATAGTGTAATAAGAGTTTCTGGGAAGGCTGTTTTAGCTAAGGTGGGTTCTAGGAAGAAGGAACACCAAGGGCAAATGCCCTGAGGCAGGAATGATAGAAGAAGGCCATTATAGCTGGAGTGTCACAATGAAGTGACAGGTGGAAAGAAATGAGTTTAAAGAGGTAGTCAGGGGCAACTTTTGTAAGGATCTTGTAAGCCATGATAAAGGGTTTGGATTTTAACCATGCAGTGGGTAGCTGTTGGAAGTTTTAAATAGGGCAGGGCAGTTGGCAGGATCTGATTTACATTTTAGAGAGACCCTTCCGGCTGCTGTGTGAAGGTTAAATTATAGCAAGACAAGAGTCTTATACAGGAAAATCTTGGAAGAAGGAAGAAGTAGGGACTGCTGTGTCAAATCAGACAGAAATTCCCATGAGCTGGGTCAGTGGAAAATCTGTGTGGCACAGATCCATTTCCTCTCCAACCCTGAGGTTGTCCTTGTACTCAAACCAGGCCAGTAGGTGGGCCTCACCTCTTGACTTCTTTTCCAGGAGCATCTTGGTCCTGGGGGTTTATTTATTCAGATTTCTAAATATGTACAAGTCAATCTAAAATTTCGAGGGACGTAGCTTGAGGCTGAGATCGTGCTTCTGCTATACATCTCACTCTGTTTCAGTACAAATGAGGAGAAACGACTGAGAGTCTTTTAAAACGTGGAGGATGGGGTAGAGAAGGAGCTTGATTTAAGTAACATTTCAATCAGATAAATTGAGTTAGTTATTTAAAGATGTAACTTGAAAGTATATTTAAAAACAAGAATTCGAATAGCTACATACTTATTGCATGTGTACCATGGGCTAGAGGCTTTGTAAGTGAAACAAAACACAACAGCAGTTATTGTTGTAAGAGCTTTGTGTTCCTGCTGTGCAAAGGGATTCCGGTTCTGAGACTGAACCAGGTCTTTGGATGCAATATGGTTACAAAAGTACTTCTTTACTCACAACCCTGAAAGCTAAGCATTAAGGTTCCTACCTTTTGCAGATGAAGAGACCAACGTTTAGAAAGGTTGGTTATGTGGTCCAACTGAGTAATAAAGCGAGAATGTGACTCTGGGGCTATCCAGCTCCCAAACTCCAAAATTCATGCTGGAGCCACTCCACATGAGTTGTACAAGTAGGGTGCAGTGATTACGGGTGTGAACCATGGTGTCAAGGGGGCTTGGATTTCAATTCTGCTCCATCATTTACTAGCTGTATCTTCTTGGCTGGTTACTTAATATCTAAGAGCCTATGTTTCCTCATCTGTAAAACAGGGGTAACAATAGCCCCTCCTTCAAAGGTTGCTCTGAAAATGATGTGAGATGTATAGCACAGACCTGGCAAATGGAAGGGGACCCAATAAATGTTAGTGCATATATACATATATACATATATGCACTATCCTATGAGGGGTACTTTGACATCTGTCTGAACCAGTTTCACTTCCAGCATCAGAAACATATATCCTGCCTCGGAAATGTCTCGCATAATAGATTGTGTCTGCTCAACTTGCTGTGCACAGTGCTTCGAACACCAGGCATCTAGGAAGTACTCTGGATGATGATATTACCCAACTGCATGAGTGGGTTTGATAGCTTTTCCAAAGGGCTGGTATTTCAGTTGTGCAACTGTAACTGCTTCATGGCAGTAGAAAAGATTTATTTTGGGGGACCCCAATCAACCCTTAGCCCCACTCCTCAAACTCCAGCTATATCACAAGATGTCAAAGCCGTGCGGTATTAATGTTTGGTCAAAGGTGCCAGTGGCATTTTGCAGATGTAATGAAGAACGCACGTTGTCCAAGATCGCTTCGTGATGCCTTCTGCCCTGAGCCTTGTTTGCCCTTTAAGGCCCAGCTGGCGGGGAAATTCAGCTGCTAGCTCACCTGGAAGTCAACCCAAAGACAAAAGAACTGGTTTATTCAACTTTGCAGGAGCCTGGGACCTCAGGCTGGGCTAAAAGATGCCACCCAGTGAGGGAAAGGATCTAGTAATCATCTCTGTCCAGAGCCAAGTCTCACAGAGGAAAAGATCTCCCATAATTAAAAAAAAAAAAAAAAAAAAGAGTGATTTTCCAATGTGGATGGTGGCCTGATTGAGAAGAAGGCAACAGGAGTGGGGATGGGGAACAGAGAAAAAGGAGGGGTTTTCTATCAGAGGGCTACTGTTGTCCTTGAGGTAAGCAGTTAAATCACATAAAACTGGTTTGCAGGACCAGATTTCTTACCTGAAGGCGAGGAATTGTACACTTGCTTCAAACCGGTCTGTTCTAACCAGCTCGTTTTCACTTGTGCTAGAGAAACTGAGTCAGCCTGACAGATTTTCCATAGAGCAAGAGCCATATCTTCAGGGAAGTTTCTATGTCTGGCAGTTCAAAGTGGGCCAGTTTTCCTCTGAATCTTGGTGACACGGGGACCTGGACAGCCCTGGTTCAAAATAGTGGTCCAGCGTGTACTTGCTTGGTACCTTGGGCAAATTACCTGCCCTCAATTTCCTCATCTGTAAAATGGAATTAATGAAAGAAACGACTTTGCAAATGCACCTGTGATGGACAAAAAAAAGAGAGTATTTTAACCCCCAATTGATGATAGACACTTCTGCCTTTTAAGGAAGGTAGGCATACTTCATACCAGTGAGGAAATAGAATTTTCCTTTGGGCCTCTTCCCAGAGAGGGAAAAGAGAGAGAGAAGAGAGACAGAGAGAGAGAAAGAGTACTAGCATGCAGCTGGGTAGAAAGCTTGTTTAAAGGAGCATGTTAACTGCGGTAGAATTGGAGCCGAACACGGCTCTAGTGGCTGGAGAGGGCTGAATGGCCTCACCCAGTAGTTGTCAGGGCTTCTAGTGGCCAGTGAAAGAGAAAGAAGAGAGAGGTGGCCCAAGCAATGCTGCAGAAGGCAGATCTTAAAAGTCTGGAGAGCCCAGCTGCTATTCAGTTTACATGTTTATATATATCAAAGGACTCAGAATAATTCTTGGCACCAGTGAGCATTTAATAAATGGCAGCTAGTAGCCGTGTGGCACAGTGACAGCACACAGCATCATTGCCTTCAAAGAGTCCCTCTCCCCGGAGGAAAAGCACCATCTCTCTTTTTCATGGCGTGTGTGTGTGTGTGTGTGTGTGTGTGTGTGTGTGTCTTGGGGGAGCAGGATAGACAGCAAAGAGGAAAGTAATGGGTTCAAATTCTGGTTCCACAGGGTTTGTTTCTTTCTTTAATTTTCCATTTTTAAATTGGGACAAAAAATAGCACCTCATCTCATACGATTCATGTGAAGTTTAAACAAGATAATCTAGATAATTCATATGCCAGGCACTTAGCCTTCAGAAAATGTTAGCTCTTGCTAGGATTCTATAATAATAGTCTTACAAAGATGGTATACTATCCTAGAACATGTGCTTTGTTGTTTTTCTTTTAAAATTTATAAGTGGGGTGCCTGGGTGGCTCAGTCAGTTAAGCGTCCGACTCTTGATTTCTGCTCAGGTCATGATCTCATGGTTTGTGGATTCAAGCCCCACTGTCAGCAACAGAGCCTGCTTGGGATTCTCTCTCTTCCTCTCCCTCTCTCTGCCCTTCCCTCATGTGCTCTCTCTCTCTCTCTCTCTCTCAAAAATAAATAAACTTAAAAAAATAAAATACACATGCATATTCAATACAAAAAAACCCTTGAAAAACATGTAAAGAACACAGAAAAACAATGGGCACTCCAGCATAAAGATCACCGGGGTTAACATTTTGGTTTATGTCTTTTCAGTTTTTTTCCTCTCAAGTGTATGGACATCTTTGTTCTGTCTTTTCAAAATGGGATACTGTTCTTTAGTCTGCTTTTTTTTTAAACCTAGCAATAGACTGTGAACTTTTCCCCGTGGATGAGTTGCTTCTTAAAATAGATGTTCCAGTGGAAGCAGCCATACCCAGGGCCAGCAGACTCATTACTATTCTTTTTCTTTTCTTTTCTTTTTTACAGACTGGGGGGCTGGGGGTAAGTCTTATGGCCATCCAAATCTGGGAAACACTGCACACACATTTCCTTATTGGAAAATTAACAGTGCCTATTAGCATGTTAAAGGCTCTAGGAAACCCTTCCATGAGAGAACCTGCCTGACTTGGATTAGATCAGTGTTTCCAAAACTGATTTAGCACAGTGGAGCCTCTATTCTCATAACTCCCGCTGATATCTCGGGAATCATTTGGGGGAACACTCCTGCAGGTGAAGATTCCCTAAAACTAGAGAGCAGATCTTGTTTGTCTTGTCTCCACACGGCCTTACAGATGGATTTTTTTTTTTTTTTTAAGAAATTATGGAAAATGGGATTGACCTGATGAATCCACTTTCTAACCAACACGCGTGTGAACCAGGGGCCAGGGTTAGATACTGGGGCTGTGCTCTGAAGTGTCTCTCCGTGTAAAGCTAATTGGCTCCTTTGGGGATGAACCTGTGAACTTGGCCTCGTTAGCACCAGCACGGAACAGCGGAGTTAGTTTATCTGGCGCCATGAAATGGTATTCTTCCCCAGATTCTCATGCTGTCCTCCAGGTGGCGATGTGGGTTTGTCATCCTGAGAGCCTGACGCCTGAGCCAAGCAAAGCTTAAAATTGAGGGGGGTGCAGGTGTGGATGAGGAAGGAAGCTGGGAGGGAGTGATTATGGAAAACCAGAAGATACACTGTCACGCGTGCGGCTGGCATGACGCTGAGGCACAGCCTCATACTCTGGGAATAGGACTCAGGTTTTAAAGAATACTGATGAACCAGTGAGCCAATAAATATCACTAGTGTTTACTGAGCACCAACTGGGAGGGGTAATATGCCAGATAATTTCCCTCTTTTGATTTCTTCTGATCGTCCTCCCAACACGCCTATGGGGTAGGTCCTTCAGCTGGCAATAGAAGACCTGGAAGTCCAACCCGGGTCCTGTATCTGAGGGCTCCGCTAGACCGAAACAACAAGATGTGGACCAAAGATGAATAAATGTGAAATGTTTGTCTATCTATCCTTCTATCTGGCTACCCATCTATCTATTTATCGATCTGCCTTTCATTTCATTTGTACAGGGTGGGCCTAATAGCACTGTGTGGTTGGAAAGAATATTCTGATAAGTCCTTCCGAGAGGGTTCTGGGAGAGAGGATTTTTCTGGTTTCGTTACATTTCCTATGATCTTTATTCTCTCTTGTAGACTGCTTCTCCATCTGGTGGCTCAGCTGGCCACCCGTTAATTCCACTGTGCCCACAGGGGCTGTGCAGAGGGCCACGAGAAATGTCCAAAGGGCACCTAGCCCTGACGTGGAGGGCAACGGAAGACCAAAGGATGTGTAGGAGTTAGCTATGCAACTGTCACAGATGGCTATTCCAGCCAGAATGACACGTGCTAAGGCTTGAGGTCAGCAAGAGCATGGTACATTAGGGGACTGAAAATAGTTCAGTGTGGCTGGCCCATGGGGTAAGGGTGTGTGATGCCAGGTGTGGGTAAGGGGGGAGAGTGAGGAAAGGCTGAAGAGGTACATGGAGTCAAGATAGTGAAGGGCCTTGTAAGTCGGGTTGAGGTGCTTGAACTTGATCCTGAGCGCCACCAGGATTCCCTGAAGGGTTTTAAGGCATGTGATGAAATGGACAGGTTTGCATTTTAGAAAGAGCACCCCAGCAATGGAGAAGGGATGAGGAGGGAGGGGTGTGTGCGTGTGTCTGCACACACTCCAGCACCCATTTCTGGGGCAGGGGGACCACAGGACAAAGGTTGGGAGGGTGTTGCAATACCTCCTGCAAGAGGTGAGGGGGCACTGGCCCAAGGAAGCCGCAGCACTGTCCGTGGAGACGGCTGTCAGCAAATTTGAGAAGAATTAACAGCCTCCGACTACTGACTGGGAGCTGAGGGTGACATTTTGAGGTTCTCTGGTTATTAGTGACAGCATATACTAATATTTTCTATAAATATTAGTATAAATAGAAATATTTTTGTCAAAACCAGGTGGCAAAATGCTCCATACGGGGTGCCTGACCCATCTGTCTTCTCCTTCTAGCAGTGCCCCCCCAATTTCTCTCTCTCCCTTCTTTTTTTATCTTTTAAAAATCTCTCCTCATATAATGTGCAATAAAGATCATGGGTGTCTGAAAAACAAATAAACCAGTGAAGAAATGGGCAGACGACATGAAAAGACATTTTTCCAAAGTCCAGATGGCCAACCGACACATGAAAAGATGCTCAACATCGCTCATCATCAGGGAAATACAAATCAAAACCACATTGAGATATGACCTCACATCAGTCAGAGTGGCTAAAATTAACAACTCAGGAAACAACAGATGTTGGTGAGGATGGAGAGAAAGGGGAACCCTCTTGCACTGTTGGTGGAAATGCAAACTGCTGCAGCCACTCTGGAAAACAGCGTGGAGGTTCCTCAAAAAATTAAAAATAGAATTACCCTACAACCCAGCAATTGTACTACTAGGAATTTATCCCAAGGATACAGGAGAGCTGATTCAAAGGGGTACATGCACCCCAATGTTTATAGCAGTGCTATCAATAATGGCCAAATTATGGAAAGAGCCCAAATGTCCAACAACTGATGGATGGATAAAGAGGTAGTATATATACACACAATGGAATACTACTCAGTGATGAAAAAGAGTGAAATCTTGCCATGTGCAACAACGTGGATGGAACTGGAGGGTATTATGCTAAGTGAACTAGAGAAACCTAACATATGAGCATATGGGAAGGGAAGGAAAAATGAGACACAAACAGAGAGGGAGGCAAACCATAAGAGACTCAAACTGAGTCTCAGAACAAACAGAGGGTTGATGGGGGTGGGGGTTGGGGGGGTGGGAAAAATGGGTGATGGGCATTGAGGAGGGCGCATGTTGGGGTGAGCACTGGGTGTTGTACGTAAGTGATGAATCATGGGGATCTACTCCTGAAGCCAAGACTACACTGTATGTTAGCTAACTTGACAATAATAAATAAATAAGTACTGCCATGGAAAAACAAAAAACAAACAAAAAAAGAGCATGGGTGTCAGAGTCAGGCTGATGTGAGTCACAGCGCTAATGATTATTAAGGTATTTATTTGAACTTCATTGAGCCTCATTTATCCAATTATAAATGGGGATAACTGTACCTACTTCATAGGACTGGGATTATGATTTAGTGCAGGTTTTCCTTTTCGGACCCAAACCCAAATCTCTCTCGGATGGGTGGTAAATGGCCCCACCCTACGACCCATTCACCCAAACCAAAACCCGTGCTTCCTCCTTTCCTTTACTCCCCACCCAGGTGATTCACTGTCACCTCTTGCCTTGACGTCTCTACTAGCTTTTTAACTGGTCACCTGGTTCCACATCACTTCTTGAAGGATCCTTCCTGTTTTCTCCATCAAGCAGCCAGCCAGGTTGATCTTTCTGGTCGATGTTGTTTGTTATAGCAACTTTATTGAGATATAAGTCACATACCATAAAATTCGCCCATCTAAAGTGTACAATTCAGTGGGTTTCAGTATATTCAAAACTTTGTGCAACCATCATCGCCATCCAGGTTGAGAGCATTTTAATCATCCTGAAAAGAAACTCTGTCTCCATCAGCAGTCTCTCTCTATTCCCTGACAACCACTAATCTACTTTTTGTCTCTATGGATTTGCCTATTCCGGACATTTGGTATAAACGGGATCCAACAATATACAGTCTTTTGTTTCTGGCCTCTTAGCATATTTTCAAGGTTCATCCGTGTTGTAGCATGTATCTGTTTTATTCCTTCTCACGGCAGAATACCATTATACTGAATGGATCTATCACATTTTGCTTATCCATTCATCAGCGGATGGATATTTGAGTTGTTTCTACTCTGGCTATCATGCAAAATGCTCCTGGGAACATTTGTGTACATTTTTGTGTTTACTTGTGTTTCTAATTTTCGTGGGTGTGTACCTAGGGCTGGAATCACTCAGTCACATGGTAACTCTGTTTAACATTTTTTGAGAGGCTGCCAAACTGTTTTCCAAAGCGGTTGCAGCATCTTATAATCCGACCAGCGACATTCGAGGGTGCCAATTTCTCCACATTTTTGTCAACATTTGTCACGGTCTGCTTTTTTGAACGTCGTCAGCCCTGGTGGGTGTAAAACTGGTATCTCACTGTGGTTTTGATTTGCATTTCCCTACGGACCCGTGATGTTGAGCATCTTTCCACGTATCTATGGGCCATGTGTATATCTTCTTTGGAAAACTGTGTGTTTAAATCCTTTGCCCTTCCCCTTTTAACCTTCCTTTACTGTGGTAAAATATGCATAACATACATCAAAGTTACTATTTTAACTCTTACAGTTCTGGCAGAATTAAGTACAATTCACGCTGTTGTGCAACCATCGTTGTGACCCATCCCTAGAACTTTTTCCTTTTCCCGAACTGAAACTCTACCCCGTTACTTTCTCCTTTCAGACCCTGGCAACAACGATCCTCCTTTCTCTTTTGTTATTGCCGTTCTTGTTCTCGGTTTTAGTTTTGTTTTTAAAATAGCCATCCTCCTGGGTGTGAAGTGATAGGTCACTGTGATTTCGATTTGCATTTCCCTCGTGCTTAGTGATGTAGAGCATCTTTTCATGTGCTTATTGGCCACCTGTATATCTTCTTCAGAGAAATGTCTTTTGCCTTTTTTTTTTTTTTTTTTATTGGATTTTTGGTCCTTTCAATATTGAGTTGTAAGAGTTTTTTGTTTTTTTTTTTTTAACTTACACGATCTGCAAACATTATCTTCCATTCTGTGAGCTGCATTTTCACTTTCGTGATGGTGTGCTCTGAAATCGAAGTTTTTATATCTGAGAACTCCAATTTATCTGTTTACTTTGCTTCCTTATGCTTGGGTGTCATAGCTAAGAAACCATTGCCTAATCCAACGTCAGAAAGATTTACTCTCAGGTTTTCTTCTAAATGTTTTATAATTTTAGCTCTTACATTTAGGTCCATGACCCATTTTGAGTTAATTATTGTATATGGTGTGAGGCAGAGCCAGGGTGATGTTTCAAAACCAAACCAGACTCAGTGACTCCGCTTCTTAAAATTCTCTACTGGCTTCCGGCTGCTCTTAGAACACAATCCTAGTTCCTCGCCCCAAGGTTTTCAGCCTCATCTCAGTGCCCACGCACCCCCTCCCAACCCCCCCAGGCCTAGCTTGCTGGAGCCATGGCTGCCTTCTCACAGTTCCTAATCCGTAAACTCATTCTGACTGGTGTTTTTGCAATGCTGTTCCCTACGCCGGAAACAGAATTTCTAGTGGCTACTGCCCTTCTTTCGATCTCAGTGTAAAAGTGCCTTCTTCAGGTAAGACCTTGGCTGACCACTCTACATGAAGTATGTTCTTCCCCCGACTCCTTATTCCTATTTTTGTTTCATTCGCAGTAATTAACAAGGGCTATATTCGCTTTAGTTGCTTACTTGCCTTTGCCCCTCCCCATCACTGAAATCCCAGGGGGGCCAGGACCACGTCAGTCTTATTCAGCTCTGTCCCCAGCACCCAGTACAGTGCCTGACACATAACAGGTGCTCCGTAAATGTTTGCTTTAAGACATAAAGAAAAAGTAGGCGTTAGAAATGTGTCTTCCATTCCCAGCTTCCCTTCCACTTTCGCCAATTCTATTACCTCCCTCTTGTATCAGCTTTTGCCTGGATTTTCTTCTATTTCCTGTTTTCAAGGAAGATGACTTTATGGAACAGAGCATCCGTTTTTTTGCTTTTTTTTTCTTCTCTTACTGCTTTTCCTCTTCTTACTGTTTTTAGCATATAAGAACCAGTGCTGAGATACAGCTTTCTAGCTCACAACTTGTTGTTTTTCTTTTCTGAAACTGTCTCAACAGCAACTCAATATTGAGCTCTCCTGGCCTTATGTTTTCATATGAATCAGGCTTTCCCCCTCAGTGAAGATGTGGGATCTGTAAGAATAGGATTTCTTTTCTAGCTCAGAGAGTGGTTTGTTGAATCTGGGCAAGTAAATCTCAGTGAACACTAAGGAGAGGATCAGTGGCACTTTTAAAACCCAATAACACTCATGTATGCTGTGATTAAAATATCAAAAAACTCCAGGGGCGCCTGGGTGGCTCAATCGGTTAAGCGTCCGACTTCGGCTCAGGTCATGATCTCATGGTTTGTGAGTTTGAGCCCTGCATCGGGCTCTGGGCTAACAGCTCAGAGCGTGGAGCCTGCTTCGGATTCTGTGTCTCCCTCTGTCTCTGCCCCTCCCCTGCTCATGCTCTGTCTCTGTCTCAAAAATAAATAAAAAACATTAAAAAAAACTAAAATATAAAAAAACTCCAAATCATGGATGGAGCTAGAGCGTATTCTGCAAGGCGAAATAAATCAATCGGAGAAAGACCAATAGCATATGATTTCACTCCTATGTGGAATTAAAAAAAAAAAAAAAGCCAGATGAACATAGAAGAAGGGGAAAAGAGCGAGAGGAAAGCAAACCATAAGAGACTTAACTATAGAGAACAAACTGAGGGTTGATGGAGGGAGGTGGGTGGGGGATGGGCTCCATGGCTGATGGGCGTTAAGGAGGGCACTTGGGCAGAGCCCTGGGTGTTGATGAAAGTGGCGAATCACTAAATTCTACACCTGAAACCAACTTTGCCATGCATGTTAACTGGAATTCAAACAAAAACCTGAATTTTTTTAAAATGTCCAAATCGGTGGATTCTGAAACTGTTACAATCCTGCCACATAATTTAATTAACCAAGCACCTTTTGTGTAGAAATTCTATGAGAAGTAATAACATCATATATGTTGTCAAAAATCCTGCAGAATAATTTCTTATAGATGACTCCCCGTTTAAATAGAGGAACTGAGATCCTTTGTTTGGTGACATATCTCTGCACACATTTCTGCTTCATATCAATTCAGCAGGATTATGATCATAAAAAAGGAACATACCTTCGTCTTAATGTTAAGCTCTGCTCCCCCTGCTGATAGAAATTCTTTTGATGAAGGCTGTAGCCAGAAACATGGTTAAAGACCATTTCACCTGAAAGCCTCACATTCTGGATTTTTATTTGTTTGCCATCTTGTTTATCATTTACAGATATCCAAACACCTAAGAAGTGAGCCCAAGAGATGATTGAAACTTTTAGGGGCGCCTGGGTGGCGCAGTCGGTTAAGCGTCCGACTTCAGCCAGGTCACGATCTCGCGGTCCGTGAGTTCGAGCCCCGCGTCGGGCTCTGGGCTGATGGCTCAGAGCCTGGAGCCTGTTTCCGATTCTGTGTCTCCCTCTCTCTCTGCCCCTTCCCTGTTCATGCTCTGTCTCTCTCTGTCCCAAAAATAAATAAACGTTGAAACTTTTGATCCGGGAAATAACTCACACATTTGTTTTGCTTTGCTCTAATCTTCAGAGGTGTGTATCATGTTGCCAAGTCCCAGGTTTTTAAAAAACAGATTTTCCTTTGGGCTTCCCCCCTCCCACCTTTCATCGCGGTAATATTTTCTCCTATCTCTCATCTTCTAAAAAAAAGTAGGTGTAACAGTCTAATCAGCCTTTACCAACTTTTCTGCAAGAACAAGGCAGAAAATACGAAGATATACATCAAGAATTGTTATTATTGTTTATGTAGTAGTGATATATGACTCCACTGGGCTTTGTGTTTTACATGGCCACTTTGAAAACACAGGATGCTGTTCAGGCACAAGCGATTTGTTTCTGAGTCCTGTGCTTGGATATTTCTAATAAATATATTCTGCCTCTGATTTTATGATATCAACAAGATACCCATGCAATAAAATATTTTCAGATTCCTGGTATTGTCTATGTTGTCAAACAAAGATAGCGTCCCTAAACTTCAAGAACAATAGGTAGAGAAAACATTAGGAATAAGTAAATAAATATGTGTAAATCATCATCATGACAATGATAGTTTTTTCCACGGGACACCGTCTGTAAGTGTGTGAATCAGCGCTTTCAGCCATGTTACTTCTGGATAGAGAAATCAGAGGTGATTTTCATCTTCTTTTCCTCTATTTGCCTTTATCTATATTACTTTTTTTCTAACGGCCATTGTAGATTATTTCTGAAATAAAAAGATCCCTTTCAAAGAACACTATGTAAGAAGAATTGGTAAAACTAAGTATAAAAATAGAGCGAATAACATTTTTGAATGGAAAATGGCTCAGAAACATGGCTTCTGAGAAGTGAAAATCTGATTTATCGTCTATTCATTTTCGAGTTCAGATTGTGCACTTTTCCTTTAGCTTTGATGAAAACACTGGCTACCTTTTGTCTCCCCACATCCCTGGATCAAGCAGGCCAGGAGAAGCAAACAGCAGACCCTTCTATTTCCCAGTGGGAAAATAGGCTTCTCACTTGATTCCCAACTGGCTCCCACTCCAGTCCTATTCCTACCTGACTCCTGATTCCTGCCTTTTTCTTCTATCTAAAGCCATGTGATTCCCACAGGACACCCTAAAGACTTGGCCTGAACTCAAACCTCCAGTTCTGAAGCCCACAAACCCATTTATTAGCCGTGCCCTTCCCCCACCTACTTCCCCCACTCTCTTGGCTCAAGATGGTCAAGGAAGAGAAGATGGAAAGCTTTCTCTTTATTTTTTGTTTGCCTTCTCTTTAATAACCCCACCATCTCATCTCTAAATGCCTCATCTTTCCATCTTATTTGGGGACAGAACTTAAGGTGAAATGGCAGAGAAGGCTGGACGAAAAGATACAATGGTGTGGTATTTAGAGCAGTGGCTGGAATGTCTCCAAGATCCATCCATTGTGTATGACGAGTCTCTGTCCTGACTAGTCAGTACTCAAGCATTATCAATTGTTAACTATTTTAGTACCATTCTCAGAGTGAAGTTATAGTGTTGTAAATGAATAGTAGTTACAAGAGACCTGAACCTGAGTATGCCTTAGGGCCAGCGATTTACCTTCTCCAAGCCTTGGTTTACACATTGGGAAAACGGGGATGCTGATAATTGCCTCGTCTGCTTCAGAGAGTTACTGTACGATCACAATATCATAGAGGATGCAGAAATTCTCTGTACATTGTGAGAGACTGTGCATGGGCGAGGAATGATGATAAAAATGATCAGTTATAGTGTTAACAATGTTGGTGGTGAAGGTCAAGGTGACGGTGATAATAAAGAAGAAAAAGAAGAAAAACTTAGACATGCCAAGGACTATCCCTTTCTGGTTCAGTAGTCTACCAACATTGCTCCCTGGCTCACAATTCGTAGGAACTGTTAGACAGAAGCAGATAAACTGGCGACATCAACCTCCTCTGGTTTATGCCATTGTAGCTCCCAGGTTGTTTCCTGGCCTGGTGCTGATACGCGCTTCCCTTTGTCTGTGGGCATTTGTTCCACAATTTCACATCCCGGCTGAGAAACTCTTCTATCTTGTAATTCCCAACACCAGGGATAGCTCTTGATGTCCATTTAATGATCTGCTTAGGATCTGGAGCCAGCAAAATGGAAATGTGGGATTATCCCGGTGGGTTCCTGTACTCCTACACGGCATAGCGCTTGCTGGATTCTCCCCATGCCCTCTTCTGATACATGCCCCACGATCCCACTCTGCAAGGGTCTTGGGTGAGCTGTTGGTTGTGGCCAGGTGGAATTAGTAATTCTGCCTCCTCTCTCTCTCCCCCGTTCTTTCTTGTTCTGGCCCACCAGCCTGACCCACCTTTATGAAGACGCTGGGTCTGTGCTGAGTCTTAGAAGGTGCTCTTGGCCAACCTTGACAAGAACCCCCCACCCCACCCCCTGCCACCCTCGGAGAAAGGCACCAAAGAGCTCTATGGAGTCTGTTCCAGCAAGGGCAGTGTGTGCTCACAGAATAAATGGCTCCTATCATTCATTCGGAGCAATGCCTGGGTGGCGGGGAGGTTTCAGTCCTGCGGCTTTGAGGGAAAAACATACCCTGGAAAGGTTTCTCCTTGCCTTTGTTAATTACGAAATAAAAATACTTCCTGCAGCGGAAGCTTTGGGGGAGGGCGTGGCTGTCCCTTCACATTGTAAATTGGCCTCAGGGATCTTCTCTTCCTCTTTTCCCTTTGGGATCAGGTACTTAAAAGTTACACAGCGTAAGGCAATAGGGGGACGATATGAAGATCCAAGCTTTAAACACTACCACAACCCTTTCACATACAGAGAGAGAACAGGGCCTTGGGTGTAGGGTCATTTTGCAGTGGGAGGGGGTCATTTTGCAGTGGGCTTGCAGTCACAAAAGGCCTCAAATTCCACTTTATACATCACCTCTAAATGAGATTTGGCATAAAGTCACAAAAATGTACTGGCAGAAGTCAACCATTAAAACATCACAATTTCCATTTGCCCCAGTTCTGGCATTTCTTAATATACAAGGAGCCTCTCTTGACCTCAGAGAGATCCTGGATACAACCACGAAGGAAGCAGACTGATTGTCAGCAGCCGCTAGCTTGGGCTTTCACTTACTGGAGGAATTATTCTACCGATTGTTTTATTTGACTGTCTCAACAGTTCTGTGAAGTTGGTACTGTCATCAGCCCCATTTCACAGATGGGGAAGCTGAGGCCTTGTTCAAGTCCACAGCCAGAAACTATTAGATCTGGGGTACAAATCCAAGCTGGTCTAACATCCGAGCTATTATCAATGGTAACGCAGCCCATGATTTCATCGCTAACCCCGCACTTTTTCATCCGCCATGTATGCCTGGGAGCATCTGCCTGGTGCTGCCTGCTTCACCCCGGACCCCTCCCAGGCATGGTCCTGCAGGATCTGTCAGGAGGGGCTTAGGTTTAGGCCTGGATTAAAATCCTCTCAAGTTCCCTTCTGAGAGAGGGTTAGACAGCAGCAGATGCCTTGATTGCCCCAGGTGACATCATGTTTAAGTTAGTCTCACCTCCCTGAGCTCATTTCTTTGTCCTGGTCACCTCTGCTTCCATCAAAAATAACAGGTTGCTGATAAACTAGCTCTCAGCCCTCCGCTCAGACAGTGGACTCTGAATCTCTGCTCAGAGCAGGCCTCTCAAGTTCAAAAGAGCCCTCGTGCTCTGTATTTTGACAGGTTGAGAAATCTAATCCATTTATTTTGAAAACCCATTAAGCCCAGCCAATATGGGATATTTAGAAAGGCCAGAATTTTGCTTCTGGTCAGAAGGTCAGTGCTGTCATAAAGTAACAGCTAAAGGAAGTGAAACAAAACATATTTTATTGTGGAGCTGTAATTCCCAAACATTCTTTTAAAATGTACTTTCAGTTAAAATAAGACAAAACAAAAACACAGCACATTGAATTGCCGGAAATTGCCACCACTATAAACTCTCTTTGTCAGAGTACATATTCAATTAAAAAAAAAAAACTTTAACATTTATTTATTTTTGAGAGACAGAGAGAGATAGAGTGTGAGTGGGGGAGGGGCAGAGAGAGAGAGGGAGACACAGAATCTGAAGCAGGCTCCAGGCTCTGAGCTGTCAGCACAGAGCCCGACGCAGGGCTCGAACTCACAGACCATGAGATCATGACTTGAGCTGAAGTTGGACGCTTAACTGAGCCACCCACAGGCTCCCCGAGTACATATTCAATTTTGCACACCGAGTTCTCAGACTAGTGACAGGCATATAGTAAATGCTTATTAAGTTTTCAATGAATGAACCCCAAAATGGTTTACTTGGCTATTTCACATTTTTTTCTAGGTATTAGTTTCTCTTGGTCACAATGGCTGTTAAATCACACTCAAGAAAAGAGTATCTGATGTTAGTTCTCTGGGGTTTTGGAAAGTGAGTTTCAGAATAGATAAGTTTGACTCTTCTTGGCATCTTGAATTATATTGTTTATGATACAGATAACAAAGTCTTATGTTCAGATTCTCCTAAGATGACCCATTTGATCCTTTCAAGCTTATGAAAGAGGAATGGGAGATATTATTTCCATGTTACCCCCTTGGAAGGGTGCATAAGCACAGACCGTTACCTGGAAGCAAATAACCTTACTATTAAGTGATCCTGAACACAAATGATGATTGGAAGATGGTGTAAAACATTCTTGTGTTTTCCTGCCGAGTCACCTTATAGTCTACATACTGTTCTCCCCTGCCGCGTATCTGGGCGGCCCTCTTTCTG